TGATCAGTTTTGTCCTTTCAGTCAAACGTGCGTTTGTTATATATCCGGACGATAATTAAAATCAAATCAATGGTTTTGTGAACTAACGTGTCAACAGATGGCAGCATACGTCTTAATTATGCACCGAGAATGGTGTCTACCTATTTTAATGATTCACCACCGAAATCTAATCTCAGTAATATTTGGAGATATGTTCTGGCGTGACTTGATCAGATTATAACTGTGGACATAGATATCTTGCACTGATGAAAAGTTGATATATGAAAGTCAGATATTCCTACAAGTTGGGTTAGTTATATACATATTGTACAAGAAGACTCATTTTTTTCTGCAAGACCTTAATATGTATCTTTACGTTTATGGAGACTCATATTGACTGTGATGATTTCACTTCTATCCATTCTGGGTCAACCGCATTAAGTGCAGACAATACGCCGTCGTCATTGGTCGCTTCGGTGCTGTTGGTTGGTTGGTTGGTTTGTTGTTTAACGCTGCGTCAGCAATATCCCAGCTATATGACGGCGGACTGCAAATAATCGAGTCTGGCCCAGACAATCCAGTGATCACCATCATGAGCATTGATCTACACAATTGGGACACGATGACATGTGACCAACCACGTCAGCGAGTCTGACCACCCGATCCCGTTAGTCGCCTTTTACGACAAGCTTGGATCTTCACGAGTATTCAGTGCTGTATTCAGTACTGTCCTCGGAGTATCACTTTGTAATAAGGGCTCCATACCTGAAAGGCAGAAGACCTATTGTAATTGTTCGATGTATCATTATTTATTAATAGTATGCAGCAGAGAGGGTTCGGGTGAACCTGACAGTCAGGCTGGTAAGGCTCATCATCAGCTCAGGGCCCTTGCCCCCTCTACCCGCAGCCCAGACAGCGAATGGGACTTCTCCCAGGAAACGCTGCCTAGTCGAACACACCAAGAACATTCCGGAGAATATGTAGACTCCCCAACACTGCAGCCTTCTGCATTACCCAGAGTGTCAGAAGGGCTGTGCTCCCGGTGGAGAACCCGGGCACTCTCCTGATCTGCACCAAGAGCCAAGTGTACTTTTGATACAAGCAAGACATTTCAAAGCCGAGGTCCGCATACTTAGTATGCTTTTCCTGAATCTTGCCAATCTCATTGCCGTCAAAAGGGACAGAAAATCCAGTGATATCAATAAATTCATTGACTTTATCTAAAAGGACAAGATCATGTTTGTTGGCAGGAATTCGTCTGAGGCTGTATATGGGCCTATGGGCCTGGACTTGTTCAGGTTCGTACCATGGATGGACCTCAGAGTCAAAGCCACAGGCATGATGGAGACGGTTGTAGAAGCAGCGAGCCATGCCATCATGTCTCTCTAGATGTGCTCTTTGTGCCAAGGAAGGGCATCCCCTATTGCATGAAGACCATGGAGCCTACATCGCTGCTCGTACCTTTAATATTATCATTGCTGGGGGTGACTATAGATGGGGTAAACAACTATTGCGATAGCGATAGTCTGTTGCGACCAGGGTTTTTTCAAAATGTTACCAACCCTGGTAACTTCAAAATGTTACCAGCCCAAAATGGATTTAACCAGACCAAATATGGTAAATTTACTCAGATGTATGGAACATCTATAAAAAAAATTACCAGACCATCGGGCTGGCTAGCTGTACATTTAGACCGTCCGTCAGAAATCTAAACTGTCTCGGGCGGTCGGACGGGCCTTATTTTATACTCTGGTTTCAGTCTCTTATAATAACTGACAGGAGACTTGAAACCAAGATCAAGTAAACAGTTAAAACATAAACTTATTGGTGTTCACAATTTCAAACTCCGAGTCGCATGCCGTGTTTAATCCTGTTATTCTCCTGTCTGTCACATCACTGGTTTCCTCCCAATAATCCCCCATCCTATACTGTTTGTGTTAACAATTGCCTTCTGGTGTAAACACCCTCCTCCCTGTACATCAACCTCATCAATTGTGCTAACATCAATCATTTACTGTTCAAACTTCATATGTATATATAACCTTGCCTTCAGTAACGGTGTTACTAGCTACACCGAAACGTCGCTCATAGTATATTAAAGAAGTTGTATCAATAAAACTCTCCTCGTTGTGAATCTGGTACTTCCTGTATTTTGCGTTGCGTATTTGTCAACGGAAGTCAATTACTAAACTATTGACAGTCACACATACTATCGATGCATCGATAGTTTTCCTTTCTACCATCGTTTCATTGCTATCGGAGACTCAAGAATTGCAATCCTTCGATAGTTCGATGCATCGTTACAGCACCAATCACAAATTTATGACCACAAACATTTCGAACGTCTTTCTGTGGAACTATATTCCAGAAAGTGGTTATTCCTTCGTGGGTGATATTGTTTTGGGAACAAAGGTGTATGGTTTATTAAGGATATAGAAAACGATCATTCCATTGACAACGTGTTATCAATTCCGTACAAACCCGCTGATTTCGTGTAAGCGTTTTTCATGTGAACTTGGTCGAGATGAAACTGAAAGTACATGGAAACGGCAGTGTGTTGCTGTACATGTCAGAGATAAAAGTCAGAGTGAAAGTTATATTCGGTTTTGTTTCAAACTCAAGTGTGGCGTCTGTCAAAACAGGAACGACTGCGAGCAGTTGGCATGTGGGAAGTTGAAACAAGACAGAACATTGTGACACGAGCTCTTAATTAGCAGACAGCAATCAACGCATTACAGTCACGATATCGACAGACAAATAACGGTAATGACAGATTTCGATCTGGTCGAGAAAAGGGCGACCGTTTCGTCATAACGACCGTTACAAAACCGTGGTCAAAGTGCCTCTCAAATCGGAGATGACCTTCACAGAGCGGTAGACAGACGATTCGAAATCGGCTACACCAACAGTGCCTTCATCCCTGACGTCCACGTGCTATCCCACGTGTGGAGAGCCGTCACACATTACTGTAGTAAGATGTTGCAGGTGTCAAGAGCGACGGCACTGGACCAATCGTTGTCGGACAAATGTTTTTTAATGAATCAATGTTTACTTTGGGCATCTTCGACAGACGCAACAGACTGTGGCGTATAGGTGTAATATTTGAAAGATAATGTGAGGCCAGGTGAGACTTCTGTTGTGAAGCCTAATTCGAAACGATTATAATCTTTCTTTGCTAATTTTCATTATTGTCTCGTTCTTTGGGTTTAACTGCGAGACCACTCTGTCTCTACGGGGTAGAATAAGACAAGGATACAAATTAAGCCTCTAAATTTAAGTAAGATTTACATACGCTTACTTAACACATTCATTGTACTGAGTGTGTATTTCCTGCACATAAAGAATGTAGGCTTCACTGAAATACAAGCGTTGCCTTACACCATTGACGTGAAACATACTGTTGTTGACGATACCCAGGGGATTAATATACATAGTATTAAACTACACATGAACCCAAATATAGGTTTAATTACAAATATATATACATACTTTCAAAACAAATACATGGATGTTACTGACATATATATTTAGAATATCTTCTGTGAGAGCCATAATATTGGTAAAAATACTGGGGCAACCCGTATTCGTAAACTTTTGTTTAGATACGGTTTCGGATTTGTTTGGTTATCCCAAACGGTTGTTGATGTTAATGCATTCATCAAGCATTTTCGTACCAGGGCTATCGACATCTTTAAACAAGACTGGCATTAATCTTTATATGAAAGTTCAAGATATGATTGTTATCGTGAGTTTAAATCTTTACCTGACTCGTATCTATACAACTTACGTAGTAAATTTCTCTACGTAATGTTTTCATATGCCTGAGACTTGGACTAAATGATCTGTCTATCAATCAAGGACGATATTCATCTGTTGTGAAATCACAAAGGTTCTGTCTATTTTGTAATACTGTAGGGCATGAATTACACTTTTTATTTCTTTATCCGGTATATAATGATTTAAGGCAAATGTATTTTCCACAATGGCTATGATCAAATATTAATGCTACAAAATTATATTGAATATTTTCAAGTAAAGCATCCTTATTACAATATAAGGTAGCACTATTTATTTGTATTGAGAAGAGATTCAACGTAACGTATGTGTGTATACCATAGGCGGATCCAGAGGGGGGGTGCAGGGGTGCGCACCCCCCCCTTTTGTGCTGAAAGCTTGTTAAATGACCATTGAAACCCGTGTAAAAATGAAGTGTGCACCCCTCCTTTTCTCAATAGTGTGCACCCCCCTTTCTCAAAAAGCTGTATCCGCCCCTGTATACATATTATTTATAATAAATAATATTTATTCTGTATATGGGCCTATGGCCTTCATGCAATAAACTGATTGACTGGCCAAGAAAAGAAATAATGTTTTCACCATGGAAAGTAATATGAGGAAAATATGTTCAAATTTAGCGTAACTAAATCATTTACAAGAGTTCGTGTTAGGGTCAGGTGAATTCTTTGGTGAATAAGGGATTTTCCCTGTACGTGTCGCTGAACGTGTGATTTCGATCCTAATACAGCAACGATGCGTGGTTCTGTGTGTTGACCGTATTACACTGCCTTGATATCGATGTCACTAGTTACTATGTAGACAGCTTGCTTGTACTGATGCTCAGTGGGCCCGCTCAGTGATGTTCCCTACTCTGGTGAAAATTATATGAAAGAATCACTGAAAATCAGCTGACACATGTATTTAGTGATATTATAGAAACAAAACAAGCTCTGTAAATTTTAAATAACGTCTGTACAGGGTTTGCGTTCATTGTTGTGGTAACGGACCAAACCTACATGAGGTGTGTGTGCTACAAAAGCAATACGCCGTGAAATTTCATAAATTTATTGCATGGAATACGTACAGAGGTGAATTTAAATCTTATTATTACAGTCACATGCTATGAATGTACGACGTCTGTTTCAATTAGGTTTGTGATGAAAATATTCCTATATGTATTATATATTGGACATAGAAGAATTAAGTGAAATTCGTTTTTAACTAATCCGTTATTCCAATAACTTGTCAAATTTGAATCAAAACTCTTCGTCCCGGTAACGGACATTCATAAAATAGTTCCAGATAACTCTGACATCACTTTGATTAACAATGGCCACAATGTATCTGCAATCTTTACGGAGAAGACATTGTTTGTTTTCAGACGACGGTAACCACCGATTAGGAACATATTTGTATTTCACACCATGCAGCTTTGAAGGCAGAACTCCGGAGAAATATACGTCATCAACCCACAGGAAAGGAGACATTGTTGCGGCCTTGTACAAACGTCCAATCATGTCACCACTGATGAATACCCCGAACCCACTGCAGTATCTCCACGGGTATGTGGTGTAATGTCTTAAGACGTTTGTGTCAGACATTATCCATTTTCCCTTTCTCATTATAATCGAACCGGCTTGATTACACAATATGTACTTCTTTTTCAGCTTCATAATCGGTATATATACTTTTATAAATTTGACAGTATCTACAAATACATCGTCGTCGATTTTGGCCACAACTGAAACGTTTGGACAATATCTGGCTATCCATTGAAACCCTGTCACAACCTTCAGTGTGAGGTTCTCGTATGTATCAAAGAAGTTGCCTTGAATTACGTCACCGTACTTCCGGTGTTCCTCCGCCATTTTGTTTTCCAAGTCAGCATTTCCTGATATCCCAACAAGAAAGATCAATCTGACGTTGAAAACTGTGAACATTGTGCGATTAGCGAAAGTATTTCGGATTGATAAGCGTCTTTTAAAATTCTGTGGACTTGAATGAACTAGAAAAAGCAACGCTATTTAAGTTGCTTCGGCACAAATGTCACGATTGTTCATTATGTAGACTTTTCCAGAACTAACAGGATAATGAGACTTGATCCTCTGGCAACTGAAATTTTCTAGTCTGGAAGGACCTTTAAAAATATGGCATCTTCTGTCATGACGACCATGGCGTTGAAGGCCAATCAAGATTTTGTCATATTCCTTGAACGAAAAACCACCATATCCTCGACGTCCACGAAACACTGCAATGTTAGCAATCCACGACAGAGCAAAGAAAGCAAGGGTACAGATGAGAAAAGCATTTCTTTTCCATTTCATTATAACATTGGATACTAAGGGCACCTGCTGCCCTGCACAACCAAAATGCCTGTAATAGTACTGACTATATCTCGACAGCTTCAAGGGAGCCCCACTGCTTACAGCTGCACAGCCCACTGCAATGTGTCATTCCTTCTCATTTTCATGACAAAGATGAATCAATATTATACTGTTTTGATTCTGTATTCCAAAATGTTTCATACTGATATTTACATCTGTGTATATCTGCAATATCAGAAATATCAGGTATATCAAGGTACATTCAGGACAGTAATGTACTAGGCAAAGGATGTCATTGTTGTTCCTTTCGATTATGATCCATAATAACGGGTCCCATGTGTTCAGCCATTCCACTAGAGCCTACATATACATGTATGCATAGACATAAAATTTAAAAGTCGATTGAAGGCTCCACCTTCGCTGGTGTTCGTCAATGTCCAGCTGCTCTTTAGGTAAAAAATTCTGTCATGTTCCAAAACAGCATGGTACACCGTGAAAAGACGTTGTGAAAAGGCAGATTTGGTTCTATCTGTGTTCAATGCAAACTGTAATTAATTGGCAATCCATTTGACTGGGAGAGGTTATGCAATGTGAAGCACAGACATGCCGTCCACCGAGCCTTAAAGCTCTTAAATATGGAAGCTGAAGTGTTTGGAAATAACTGTTGTTAACACTTTGCTTCTGGTGTAACATTTTGTAACATTATACTTTACAGAACCACTATGCGTATTCCTATCCCAAAATCAATCTGTGAAATAAAAAATCTAAACCAGCAGGATGGGTAACTTTCAGATCTCGACGTCTTTAGTTTGTAGGTGTCGAGGATAGAGTAGTCTGTCAAGGAACAAACGAGTAATGGCACTGTTGGAAATTATACATGCTTTGATGAGAAAGGATAAATGATGACAAGGTGAACTTAACATTTTGTGAGTTTTAGTTCACCAAGAAGAAGTCTTGCACTTTGCGGCCTACTTCCTAGCCGACTGTCTGATTGTGAATTTGATGCTTGATTGGCATTTTAGAAGATGATATTGATGAGTGAGTTGGGGTTTACGCTACTTTAAGCAATATTCCAGCAATATCACTGCGAGGGACACCAGAAATAGGCTTCAACCATTGTACCCATGTGGGGAACCGAGCCCAGGTCGTCGGCCTGACGAGTGAACGCTTTAACCTCTAGGCTACACCACCACCGCCTTTCTACGAGATGTGACTCGTGAAGATCCGGGGTAGAATAGGTCTTCACAACCCATGCTTCCCACAAAAGGTGACTATGCTTGTCGTAAGAGGCGACTAACGGGATCGGGTGGTCAGGCTCACTGGCTTGGGTGACACATGTCATCGGTTCCCAATTGCGCAGATCGATGTTCATGCTGTTGATCACTGGATTGTCTGGTCCAGACTCGATTATTTACAGACAAAGTTGAATCTAAAATGTTATTCTAATTAATCTCATGAGTACAATGTGTGAAGCCCATTTCTGGTGTCCCAAGTACTCTCCTATGTTGTGTTCCAAGCATATAAGACATATAGCACAGACTAACTTTAAGAGAAGCAATCAAGCAAATAACTATAATACCTCGAGGGCATTGAGGCCTGTCATAACTGTGTCAGATATGTGTATTGAAGTATATTGTTATTGTTTACAAGCTCATGGGTATAGCACGACATTTGCGTTTTTGAGACAGTGTGTTATGAATTTGACAATAAACCATTATATATTCCAATGTGTCCAGTTCCTTACGTTTGTGAGCGCCGGTTAAACTTGGAAGCGGGTAGACTTTGGTAGACTGTATGTCATCGTGCCCTGAAGGAACAACATGGTGATCATACTATCTGCCTCTGGATACGAGGGGCTATCAAAACGTTTTGAACCTAAAATGCTTCTGCTATGTGCATGATAAAAATAACTCTATGGTATTGAAGAATGGTTTATATTATTCACATAAACGTAATACTGACAGGCACATGTCGCTAGTTTCCGGTCACGTGACATCTGATCAGATGTACCCCTGCTGAAACAACAGAAATGGATAAGCTTGAGTACAGAGCAGTCTAGACTAACAACTTGTCTCTGAAATGAACATATTTTACTGAAAAAACGTTCATAGTGAAAAAAAGAAAATATAATGTAAAGGAGCCCTGAGACTTTCTTCATTTTCAGAAGCTGAGGAAATCTAGATTGCCACATTTTCTAGACTTGCGTGGGCTTTCTTGGATATATTTACTTCAGGGTCTGTATGAGAGTCTAAGAGCAGTCATAAAGCTCTTGGTCCTCGAGGGTCATTACTCGTACTGCTCTCAATCTCTCTTCAATGTACTTCGCTTATCCATTTCTGCCTTTTCAATATTGAGATGATGTATTCTCAAAAATCATACAACATATTGTGTCTTACATCCACAACTAATAGCGCTGTTATTGATTAGATCATTCCTCTTTCCAACGTTACAATATCAGTGAATTTATTTTCAAAAATGATTTTCACATTTTAAAATAATAACACCACACTTATATAACTAAAATAACATTTATCTACATGAAACAATATTCACTCATTCAGCCTTTGGTCATATCAAAAGGTGTATTTTCGATAACGTGTTTTTATTGTGTAATTCCAAATTGGATATAGATCTTCCTTTTGCACTATTCCGAAAATATCATGACAGTTGGCGCGCAGGAAACATTCTGTGTTATTGACCTTTTCGTTCCATCTATTCTCTATGTGTTTGTATTTGAACCCTGTGAGTTTGGACGGGAGTACCCCCGAGAAGTAGACATCGTCCACCCACAGAAACGGCGACATCGTGGCCGCTTTGTACAACTGGCCAATCATATTGCCGCTTAGAAACACCCCATACCCGCTACAGTAGCTCCAGGGGAAGGCATCATAGTGTTTGAGCACGTGTTCTTTATTCGAAATTCTCCATCGCCCATCACGGTCAATCAGCATCCTTGGAATAAAATTACACAAAATATATTTTCTGCCAGTTCGGAAAACGGGAAAATATGCTCTTAACAATTTTACAGTATCTACAAAGGTGTCATCGTCAATCTTAGCAACAACAATTGCATTAGGACAATGTTTTGACACCCAGTGAAACTCCGTCACGACTTTCAGCGTGAGATTACGATATGAATCCCGGAAGTCAGCTTGTATGACGTCACCATACATTCGGCTCTCGGCAATCAGTTTGTTTTCAATGCTTTCCTTCTGTGATTTACCAACAACAAAAATTAGTCTGACGACATGGAACCGGAAGTACGTGTGATTGGCAAATGTATCACGGATATACTGACGAGACTTCACGTGAGTTGTGGATGAACTGACGATAAATAAAAGCGACACTGTCTCGGTATCCCTGCAGATGCTGGGATTGTTGAGTATGTAGTGTATGCTGTTGGTGGCTGGGTATGGCGTCTTCGTCCTTAGACGCCGTGGTGGGGGATGCCATGGATGACTCATTCGATGGTTATCACGATGCTTCATCAACATGTTAATATTCTGCATCCACAGCAGCAGCACACTTACCACCAAGAGCGTTGCGGTAACACCCAACTTGAACGTAGCCATTTTCATGATATACAAACAGCCCCGGTGGTCGGCATGGTCTCGAGAAAAGCAAAACTATTTACAAAACTACTTCCCTTTCAACAGATGTTAAAGATTACAGAAACTGTTCACCTGAAGTGATCCACCTCAAATATTGCTCACAACGTGTACTTAGAAACACCCACGTGGGAGCATCACGACACCACAGTCGTCTTGTAGATCATGGCGATGAAAAATCGAATTGTTTGTTCCTGTGTAGTCCTCAGAACCCATACACACATTTCCGTTCACTAAAAGTGGTCGTCCTGCAATATGTGCACGTGTAATTGTACAAAGTGCACTTCGAAATTGATTCACCTCGCATATTACGTCCACACGAAGGCGATTATTTCAATAGTGTTATTTCGAAAGTAATACATTTTGTAGCCATGTCTACAGCCTGGTGTTGTGGTATTGATTAACCTTGTTACCACTGTACCCATTGATCAGTCTTCCACAGCTGTGTACAACACAGAGTTCAGTCATTCATCCGTTCTGCAAGCAACGCGCTGTGACCACGTCGTATCCCTGGTGTATATAAAACTCACTCAATAACTGAGACAATAAAGACTGCAGCGCACTGCAAGGATAGCACACATTGCAGGATAAACCGGCGCTTGCTTCAGACGGGTATACTGTTCATACCTCCGGGGTCCCTTTCCTCAAAGCGAGTGTAGCGCTAAGGTGATCGTAACTCCCATACTTTAACATAGACTTACGACAGTCGTAGCGCTACGATCGCTTTAAGGAACGGGGCCCAGGCCCTCCCCTCTCTCTGTAGGATTCATTCAGACACAAAGTAAACTTCTGTTCCCTGGGCAGACGGTGTCACCCCCAGCTAACACAGCGTTTTCACAACATTGTGGGAGGACTGTAGATTGGTAACGTCATTTTATAACGTCATGTCACAACGTAATAGCAACGTTGCAAATTTACGTTGAGGAAACAGTATGCTTTGGGCTCCTCACGATAGATTTTCGTAAAACGTTTCACTTTGAGATTCTTTTTTCACTATTCAGCTACAGCTTCAGAAAACACACGACCAAAACAACATGCAAATTGACGAATTAACATTGAAGTAAATGTCTGCTTTATTTCTTATGTACTGTACATTACTGGGAAAACTATTCAGCTATTAACGTTAAATAGAAGGTTAAAAACAAGGTAAAATACATTAGCATCAAATAACTTAACCTTGTGGCGACGTACAAATGACGTATGACAACATCAGGCCACAACTTGGTGACAACATAAATGGGAGTCCACAGAATAACGTTGTAACAACGAGAGCATACCGTCCTGACAACGTTGTGACAGCATGAAACTGGTAGCTGGATAACTGGTTTAAATTGTTCCTGAAACGAAACATTTTGTGACGACATAGCGGTATTTGTCACTACCCTAACATATAAAATGTTAGTTAAATACTACTTAGCAATAAGTGACTTTCAGTAACTGGTTTCAATCAAACTTTTGGCGAGAAATGTATGGGGTCAGTAGGTTTTGAACTCAAGATGTCAGCACAGAGAGGTTACGACTGCTGTCTTCTTCCACGGAACAAATGTATGTGGAATTATCAAGTAAATATTTACCAACACTTTTACTAACAGGTAATATCTTTCGTGAATTGGGATACGTGTTGAGATATTAGTGATGGTGTTACTATTCTGTTATCTATAACATGCTGTTTGTTACCTTTCGTTGTACACTGGACAAGCTATATTTAATTAGGTTACTGATAAATAATCTGACTTTGGTCCGGTATGAATTGTATACCCCTAAGACTTTGCCATTGTTTAGATATTTACATAAGTACACGAGTACGGCACACGAACAAACAAACAACAACACGCTGGTGTCTTGCCTCATAATGTAAAAAAAGTCGCTCTTGGGACACTTTAAGGGACGTGAGATACAGTTAACACTATACAGTGGCAAAAATACTCCTCAGTTGCCTTTCTGTGCCTTTACTTCGAATACTAAATGAATATATTTATCAAATATATTATAATATGGACAAACAATTACCATTTCACATACTAATTCATACTTACCTATTGTAATGTAGCCTTCATAGACTAAATCACGCGATTATGACGAGGAAACATTGTCAATGCAGAAAAGAACAGAACTGTCTATGAAGACCTCGAAAAGCATAATAATCAGACGGGGCTGTCACTATGTCAGATCCCCCATCCTTCTGTTTTTGACTGGACGGAAACCCAAACTGTCCCTATCACTCGTGCTGCTATTATGGGCCAGTGTATTTAGCCTGTCTGCGTCGTTGATGACAAAACTGTGATAGCACAGGTAAGGAACATCGCGGATATTAATCGTTTTTCTAGAGATTCCTGTTTTGGTGTCCAAACAATCTTGGTGTCCATCAATATGTTTTGACTTGATATTGCAATAATAGGACAATGGCCCGCGAGGGCACCGACAATACTTTCAAAGATATCCTCCATCAATGGTGTGTACAAATAGTAGGCTTATTGAGGCTATTTCTAAAAACTGTGTGTACGAAAACATTTATATAGATCGAGACGTTCTGTACCAACTCTGTGTACGAAAATATACTCAACAAACTAATGTTGAGACGGCAATGGTATACAAGACACTAATGCTAAGACGGCAATTGTATACAAGAGACTTATGGTGAAATCACAATGCTATATAATATATGAGACTAATGGTGAGATCACAATGCTATACAAGAGACTAATGGTGAGACCGCAATGCTATACAAGAGACTGATGTTGAGATCACAATGTTATATAGGAAACTAATGGTGAGACCGCAATGCTATACAAGAGACTAATGTTGAGATCACAATGCTATACAAGAGACTAATGGTGAGATGAAAATGCTATACAAGAGACTACTGTTGAGATCACAATGCTATACAAGAGACTAATGGTGAGATCACAATGCTATACAAGAGACTAATGGTGAGATGAAAATGCTATACAAGAGACTAATGTTGAGATCACAATGCTATACAAGAGACTAATGGTGAGACCGCAATGCTACACAAGAGACTAATGTTGAGATCACAATGCTATACAAGAGACCAATGCTGAGATCACAATGCTATACAAGAGACTAATGGTGTGATCACAATGCTATACAAGAGACTAATGGTGTGATCACAATGCTATACAAGAGACTAATGTTCAGATCACAATGCTATACAAGAGACTAATGCTGAGATCACAATGCTATACAAGAGACTAATGCTGAGATCACAATGCTATACAAGAGACTAATGGTGAGATCACAATGCTATACAAGAGACTAATGGTGAGATCACAATGCTATACAAGAGACTAATGTTCAGATCACAATGCTATACAAGAGACTAATGTTCAGATCACAATGCTATACAAGAGACTAATGCATGAGATCACAATGCTGAGACTAATGGTGAGATCACAATGCTATACAAGAGACTAATGGTGAGACCGCAATGCTACACAAGAGACTAATGGTGAGATCACAATGCTATACAAGAGACTAATGGTGAGACCACAATGCTACACAAGAGACTAATGTTGAGATCACAATGCTATACAAGAGACTAATGGTGTGATCACAATGCTATACAAGAGACTAATGGTGAGACCGCAATGCTACACAAGAGACTAATGTTCAGATCACAATGCTATACAAGAGACTAATGTTGAGATCACAATGCTATACAAGAGACTAATGGTGAGATCACAATGCTATACAAGAGACTAATGGTGAGATCACAATGCTATACAAGAGACTAATGGTGAGACCGCAATGCTATACAAGAGACTAATGTTGAGATCACAATGCTATACAAGAGACTAATGCTGAGATCACAATGCTATACAAGAGACTAATGGTGAGATCACAATGCTATACAAGAGACTAATGGTGAGATGACAATGCTATACAAGAGACTAATGGTGAGATCACAATGCCAAGAGACTAATGCTACACAAGAGAGACTAATGTTGAGATCACAATGCTATACAAGAGACTAATGCTGAGATCACAATGCTATACAAGAGACTAATGGTGTGATCACAATGCTATACAAGAGACTAATGGTGAGATCACAATGCTATACAAGAGACTAATGTTGAGATCACAATGCTATACAAGAGACTAATGCTGAGATCACAATGGTATACAAGAGACTAATGCTGAGATCACAATGCTATACAAGAGACTAATGCTGAGATCGCAATGCTATACAAGAGACTAATGCTGAGATCACAATCCTATACAAGAGACTAACGGTGAGACCGCAATGCTACACAAGAGACTAATGTTCAGATCACAATGCTATACAAGAGACTAATGCTGAGATCACAATGCTATACAAGAGACTAATGGTGTGATCACAATGCTATACAAGAGACTAATGGTGTGATCACAATGCTATACAAGAGACTAATGGTGTGATCACAATGCTATACAAGAGACTAATGGTGAGATCACAATGCTATACAAGAGACTAATGGTGAGATCACAATGCTATACAAGAGACTAATGCTGAGATCACAATGCTATACAAGAGACTAATGGTGAGATCACAATGCTATACAAGAGACTAATGGTGAGATGACAATGCTATACAAGAGACTAATGTTCAGATCACAATGCTATACAAGAGACTGATGGTGAGACCACAATGGTATACATGAGACTAATGCTGAGATCACAATGCTATACAAGAGACTAATGGTGTGATGACAATGCTATACAAGAGACTAATGGTGAGACCGTAATGCTACACAAGAGACTAATGGTGAGATCACAATGCTATACAAGAGACTAATGCTGAGATCACAATGCTATACAAGAGACTAATGGTGAGACCACAATGCTATACAAGAGACTAATGGTGAGATCACAATGCTATACAAGAGACTAATGTTGAGATCACAATGAGACTATGGTGAGATCAAATGGACTAATGCTAATGAGAGATCACAATGGTATACAAGAGACTAATGCTGAGATCACAATGCTATACAAGAGACTAATGGTGAGATCACAATGCTATACAAGAGACTAATGGTGAGATCACAATGCTATACAAGAGACTAATGGTGAGATCACAATGCTATACAAGAGACTAATGGTGAGATCACAATGCTATACAAGAGACTAATGGTGGTGAGATCACAATGCTATACAAGAGACTAATGCTGAGATCACAATGCTATACAAGAGACTAATGCTGAGATCACAATGCTATACAAGAGACTAATGCACAATGAGATCACAATGCTATACAAGAGACTAATGGTGAGATCACAATGCTATACAAGAGACTAATGGTGAGATCACAATGCTATACAAGAGACTAATGCTGAGATCACAATGCTATACAAGAGACTAATGGTGA